CCTGGGACATGACATGTGGCCGGCAGGCAGCTCTGTGCAGTGCAAACTGCCAGTGCCCACAGGTGCTGCCCCCGCAGCTCCCATTGTCCGTGGTTCTCAGCCAATGGGAGTTGCCAGGGCAACTCAAAGCTTCCGTTGTTGCCCGTCCCTGCACCTAGGGGCTGTGGGTACAGCTGAGCAGCCTGCCTAGCACTGGAGCTTCCTCCCAGAGCCAGGTGAGCCGGAGCACATGGTTCCAGCCACACTAAGTGCTCAGGCAGCACAGAAGCCACTGGGCTGCTGTTACAGCCATTTTCCTTTGCAGCCTGCTGCCCAAGCGTGTACGCCCCTCTCCAAAGAGGTAACAGAGGTAACCTCTCCAAAGAGGTTTAGGCTGAAACAGCGGCTGCCTTTGATGAATTACTTTGGGAAACTGGCCAAATCCCATTCATCTCGATGACGAGGGGAGAGTTCTTCTCTGCAGACATTTGTTTCATATTCACCCCTCTATGAACAAGCTTATTTGAACGCTTTAAATCTGGCCGAGGCGCTCGTCACTGGAGACGTGCAGTATGTGGTCACATGCCGCAGGACGCAATTCCTGGCCTCACTTCAAAATGTGGTTTCATACTTGGTTTTTACTGGGTTCAGCGTCTAACAGGATTCCCAGGTCCAGATACAAGTGCTCCCGACATGCATGTGTGTCTATTGACATATTACTTGGATGGGAAAATCCAATCTCTTTATAGAGAAGAGCTCAAGGAAAGTAATGCAGTGTTGACGCTCAGGAAGTTCAAGTGACAGTTCCTAAATCTGCTACAATTTGGCCATGTTTCATATGTTCAGGTACACCGTTTGTACACTGCTGTTTACACCCCCAGGCCTAGATACACCTCAGCTGAGAGGAGTGACTGCAGCCTAGTAATCTGGGTCGATCAAAGGTAGCTCCCATCACATGAGCAGCAAAGATAGCCATTCCTGCCCAGGGCATCCTTCAAGGGCGTCATTCAACCTAGCTTCGATCTAGCATCACAGCGAGCTTGGGTACATCTCCATGTGCTCCAATCACACCTGACTGCAGTGCAGACACATCTACCCCGGAAGTTAAGGGTTAATTGCTTCAGGAAGCATAATTTTGAGGAGAGAGGTTAACGGGCTCATCGGTTAACCATCACGGTTACACGCGCCACTCCCTGTTGCCTCTGATACAGAGGCAGCGAGGGATGCAGGGGAGGTGGGAGCCAGTGCGTGTGTGTGCAGAGCCGCCCAGCCCCCCAGCACTGCTACCTCTGTGGCTTCCCATGTGACAGCTCCCATGGAGCCGCCTGACGCCTCTCCTTCCCCCGCCCCAGAGGCTAAATGAGCTCATTTAATGCTCCCTCTCTTTGCTGCAGCTTTCCGTTGTGTTTCTAAGTGACCCAGTGGGGAACAGCCCTCCCCATAGTGCTGCTGGTTCCAAGAACTCCACTGGGTATCTGACAGCAGCAGGACGATGCAGAGCATAAAAATAATCCCAGCATCCCCTCTCAGCCACGTCTCTTTCATACCTCCTCAGACACATGGCTACAAGTGACCCATTTCCATTTCTTTCTAAGAATGCACCATTCCCACCAAGAGTCAGGCCAGCCATCCCTAGCAAGTGCCAGGCTTCCGTGAGGAAGCTCCTAGAAATAGACTATAGCACTTACTTCCACAAAGTTTCCTGAATACACTTCCTCCAGTGTCACTTCCAGGTCCACAATGATGTCACTTCCTCGTGGAATATTCCTGTCTTGCTGACGAGGACTTCCTCCAAACATGAAACCAAAATCCCCAAAGAAGCTATGGAATAATGGACAGTCATTAATTCAGGAAGAAGTCTAAGTTCAAGACGTATGCTGCCATGTGGCAGCATAAACAAGATCTTTTTCCAACACAGAGATCAAATGCGGTATTAGGCTCCTTCGAAGCCTCTTCTCACCACCATATAATATGCTCTGTACTAGGGATGTAACCGAGTAGCCTAGCATCTGATAAGGATATGCTTATCAGACAATCGACTAGACTAGTCGCCCTCCTCCCCCCGCTGCCTCTCTCTGATAAATGCAGCGGAGGGAGAAGGGGGAAAGCAGGAGCCAGTGCTGGGGGGGAGGGGAGCTGGCTTAAAAACAGGTTCCCCCCAGCACTGTCTCCGTGGAGGGGAAAAGGGGGGGGAAGCAGGGGTGCAGCGGGGAACTGGTGTCGCTTCCTCCTTGGGGCTCTTGCTATATTTCAAAAGCAGAAGTGCCACAGGAGCAGGGGGTGAGAAGCAAGCAGTCCCCCGCTGGCCCAGTGCTCCCTGCTTTTGAAATGTACCCAGGGCTCTTGTACATTTCAAAAGCGGGGAGCATGGGGCAAGCAGGGGACTGCTCGAGTCCCCTACCGGCCCCGCGCTCCACCTCGGCTCTTCCGCCTTCGAAATGCCCTTAACTAATCAAATAGTTGATGAAAATTGCATTGCCTAGTCGAGTAGCTGATTAATTTAAATTTAACATCCTTACTCTGTACAGCAAATTGCACACTGTCAAACCAACACAAGTCCTGTGCTTTCCGAAACCAATCGAAATCCATTATTTTAGGGGAGATTTCCTTAAAGTCATCACAAGTGGAAATACATTTCTGGCACCACATCTAAGGTACTTCCACGGACCTGATAACCGTAGTATCTAAGTGCTTCCCAGTCTAACATTTATGCCCTGTGATGCAGAAAGTGCTATTTACCTCATTTACAGATGGGGACTGAAGCACTGAGAGGCAAATGACCTGCATCCCCCAAGCCTTAGGGCAGAGCCCTAACTGCTGGGACACCCTTCAGTACGGTACCAATGTTCAGACAAGGACAATATCTCAGGGTGGATGCTTCAGTGGAATCCAGACAAGATAATCTCCCTCTCAGAATGGAACAATCCACAGGTTTACCCCGAAGCGAGAGGTGCTGTTTGAAGTGCTATTGAATGAAGAGGTCAGATTTTGCTATATTTAAAATTATAGTGTGTGTGTGGGGAGTTGGGGGGGGGAGAAAAATACATGGTGCTGCGTGCACACACACACGCGCGTGCCTGTGCCAGTGTAATAAACACCAGACACGTCACAAAGGATGCAAGAAAATCTGCATATTTAATGCAATTAAAATCTATCATCCACCACTCATACTAGCAAATCTGCCAAGTACTCAATGACGGTTCGTGGGGGAGAGAGAACAAACATGGACTTTGTGCACATTACCGCATGTGTGTGAAAGCAGCAACTAGGAAGCATGTGTTGAACACACTGGTCAGATCACCCCGTCACTAGCGGTCAATGATGATTCATTTCCAGGGCAAAGGCCACAATAGGGCACAATAGCAACAAAGCATCTGTCTGATGCTGAAGTCTGAAGGAATAGCCGTGTCCTTAATTAGTGTTCCTTGCCTGCAGAGCAGTTTGCAGGGGTGACAGCTTACTGTGAGAAGATGTCTCCATGGGAACCCTGGTGACCATCCTTCAATCCCTCCTCGCCATAGGTATCATACTGCTTTCTCTTCTCCTCGTCTGAGAGCACCTGAGAGGGCAGAGGATGTGGGACAAGCACTAGTGAGTCAGGTTATTTAAACAAGCCTTTGAGAGGCACCCGGCCTTTACCCCAAATGAGGAATAAGAGGCAGTGGAGAGATCCAGATCACTTTTACTATGGCGGTGCTGGTCACCACTCCATAATCAGCACCAAGTCCAAGGTTGTCAGTTTAACAAGAATCTTTATTTTGCAGAAATTGGCTCTTTGGAAGTCTCTTGTCACCATATCACATGCATCTCATCGAAACAGCAAACCACCCAGACGCGCTATCATTCAACGCTGTTTCAATTATTCTTGGTGGGCTAATGGAAAAAGGATTAGCAGCGGAGTAAGAGCTCAAAAACACAGTCCTTTCGGCAGTCTGTCACACAAGTGTGTCGCTCTTCTTTGTGAATCACACGGCTACTCCCCCTAGGGATGTAGAAATCCCGTTACCCAGTAAGCAGCACCTGCTCCTTGCCCCAATCTCAGTAATACAGAAAGAGCATTTGTCCAGAGAGCCTTTTATAACCTTTCACCCTGCCTCCATCATCTCAAGTTTGAGCACCAAAGAGAAGCCACCAAAGAGGATGATCAACCTGCCATGGTGCAAACATTGGCGCTCACTTCTGGGAAAGAGAGCGAGCTGGAGAGCAGGGGTCTTGGCCATATGAAGGCAGAATAACGTCCCAAACGCAGGCAAGGTGTCACAATTAGATGTACTGATCTGCTGAGCCAAAAGCATGAGAGATGGCTGTTGAAGTTCTGCACCAGTGAGAGCGCACTGCTTAAATGGGGGCTGTTTGTGATTTCCCATCCCTGATCCAGTCTGACCTTCGTTGCACAGGTCATGGAATTTCAGCCAGTTATGAAGCCCAAATCAAGCCTATATCTTGTGGCTGAAGTGGAGCAGTCAATCTAAAGTCATGAAGAGATCGAGAAAGCACCATGATATTTAACCACTGAAACACCTTACCCGCACTACACATTTGCTGATACGACTAAACCTGGGGATTTTGTTAACACCTCTGTCTCCCAGGTTAGAGAAACAGAGAGTCACCCCTAGTAGCTACTTATGCACCACGATCAATTAATTCTTATGTTCTCTTTAAACGTCCAAAATCAACGAGCACTGCAACTGGTTTAAGGGGTTGGTCTCACTGTGTAAGACTGAACACACAAATTGTGCCATGAGCACCGGATAACAGAAGCCAGGTCCAGGTTCAAATGCTTTGGTCCAGGTCTCCCTGCTCCAGCAACATCCATGACCCAGTAGAACCACGGATGCTGCTAGACCAGAGAGCACTGGTGGCTGGGAGCGGCCTCTGCCTGGGAGTCTGGTGGCAGAGAGGGACGTCACTACTCTCAGGGTGATGCTTACTGGCTACCCAGCAGCCCAGCCGGGCCTACTGTGCCACAGGCTGGGAGTGCTCCAGATTGGCCAGGCCTGCCACGCGACACTGCAGGCGGGCGCCATGTAAGCAGTTAACCATAATGTTTAATCGGTTAATTGATCAAACAGGATTTTACATATCTAGTGGCAGTGTGGCCAATGGTCAGGACCTTAGCCAGGGTCAGAGCCTGAAGCGCAGCTGGGGGTCCAGCCGGGCATCTGGGAGCGCAGCTGGGCCGAGATTGGAGCTGGTCTGGTGGCAGGGATCCGGAGGTCTGGTGGCAGGGATCCGGAGGTCTGGTGGCAGGGATCTGGACCCTCAGCAGCTGGGCAGAGATTGGAGCCAGTCTGATGATTGGGAACCAGAGGCAGGGAGCAGAGCAGGGCCAGTGGCTGGGATGGCAGCCCAGGGGAAGGGAGCTGAGGGCGGCACCAGGATCAAAAGCCAGGAGGGGAGCTGGCTTGGAGGCTGGTGGCACCCCAGGGGACCCCAGAGACTTGCAGCAGAGGGGCCATAACAGACCTCCCTTGCCTGGAAAACTCCCCTCGTTCGGGACCTGACCCATCTTGAAGATGCTGGACTGCGGAGGGCCAATCTGTCACTTTCTGACAATTTCCATTACACACGTACTTTTAAGTTTTCAAACCTGCCACCTCCAGCTCCACACTTAAGAACAACCAGGAATCAACTTCAAATCTGTATTCTATTAGCCTAGGGACAAATCCGCAGGGTTGGAAGATGGCAGAGCAATATACATAATATTAAATGATCTATTTCATGTTAAGGATTAAAAGACTAGTCAATTGTCCGATGAGCATAAGCTTATCTGATAGTCAAGTAGTGGGGAACAGGTACGAGCCAGGAATCACTTGATTCCTGGCTCATGCCCAGACGCTGTACAGGAGAAGCACGGTGAGGGGAACCAAATATGAGCCAAGAAACAGCTGTCCCAACTCGCACCTGGTCCCCACACTGCGCTTCAGCCTTTTAAATGTTTTAAAGAGCCTGACAGCTCTTATTACATTTTAAAGGCAGAGCCGCAGCGGTGTTAGCTGCCGGGGCCAGGAGCTGGCTCCGCAGTTTCCCCCACTTATCGGCTAATTGATTAGTTGATTAAACATAATTTAACACCCCGATTTCAGGTACAGCTTTGAAATCTCAGAATAGCCTGTCCTGCCTAAAAAGTGCAAAAAGAATGGATTGAGATGTCCACGCTAGTTTCAGTGAGAGAATTAATTTCACAACCAAGTTTTGGTGCTCTGAAAGAATAAGCTTTTGTTTTCCAGAGAAGAAAATGTGCTAGGACAGAGGTGGCTACATCTTGAGCACCCACAGTAATCAAACTGCCTTTGGCCCCAACTACTGCAATAGCTAGCGCAAATCCAAACTAGGCATCTTCAAACTCCATTAAAAGGAAGCATTCCACACCCTCCCTTGCATGTTGCAGGGGAAACTTAACTCCAAAAATGAGATAATTGGGATTCCCCTGCAACATGCAAGGGAGGGTAACTTAACTCCAAAAATGAGATAATTGGGATCTACAAGCTGGCCCGGGGCCTCTACTAGAAACCTTAAATAGAGTGACAGCAATCAGGTTAACACAGGGCAGGCTCTTCACAATTTTTCGCTATCACTCCTCTGCCATTTCCAGTCAATAAACCTGTCTGACTTTTCACTTTTGTTGCAGCAATTCATTACCAACACTGAAATGTAATCATTGCTGACTCTCCCTGATTAACAACAGCTCCAAGGCCATCACTAGAAAACCGGTTGCACCCTCCTGCAAATGAGGAGATGGAGGCAGAGACTCCACCCAGACAGGAAAACCATGTTTGTTAGTCCTCAGAGCAGATACTCTATTAACTCACTGACCTCATAGGCAGCTCCCAGATCCTGGAACTTTTCTTGCGCTCGCGGATCGTCAGGGTTGCGGTCCGGATGAAGCTGCAAAGCCAGTTTCCGATAGGCCTTTTTAATGTCTTTTACTGATGCACTGCGGGACACCCCCAGAATCTTATAGAAATCCCTCCTGAGAAATAGAGAGCAAAGTAAACATCTAGTCATGGCCTCTGCCACAAATGCACCACTTCTAACGAGACAACCACAGAACACCACCACTGCTACTGCAACTGAACAGCTCAGTAGGGTGAAGGCACCCTCCTGGAACACCTATGAGTTTCAATCAGTGCCATGACAACCATTTTAGTGGAGAAGTTGAAGCACAGACGTATTCAGTGACTGGCCCAAAACAGTGTGGAGGGTGTCCGTGTGTGTGTGGGTATGTCTACACTTGCACCCTCTTTTTGCTGGGG